TGAGAGATTGATCTTATCTTTCGACACTCGGAATTTGTGCCCTGCGCGAATTCGAGAGCATCTTACTCCGCCACCTCCCTCGTCGCCGACGTCGCTACTCATTGCCTTCCCTTTTGGCTTCTTCGATTTCCTTTTGGTAGCACAACGATTGTATCTGATCGGACCGGATATAAAGTTACGTGCTCATTCTCCGGGTCCTGTTTCGTACAAGCACAAATACGGTTCCTGGTTATTTCGAGGAGGAGCCTCCTTTGAAAGGTAACGTTTTATCGCGCCTATCTACACGCGATTTTCACTGTTGCCGATAATGCAATGCCCCGACTACGTAGATCCGGGTGGTCCATCGTGGCGCGAAAAAGCGCGCAAAGTGGATTATACGGGGAAATTGCATCTTTTTACACGACACAAATTTGCCGTTAAATGCGGCTCTAAGAGCCGTACTTACGTTCAAAACGTTCTCCGTTGAATTTATTTATTTACGCGCACGTGCGATTGCTTAGAAACAAATACGTATAATTAGCATAATTTTTTCTAAATAAAATTATACACGATACACACGTATATGATACATATAAGATATTCTTTCTCGATTAAAACTTTAAATATTATATTAAATCTTGTATATTAAATTTAACGCTACTCTAATAACTTTACGTTAGTGCACTTTTAATACAAACTGAAGCTCTGAGATATACTTTTCTTGTAAAAAATATAATGTTAATAATTGTATGTATTAATAATATTAACTCTGAGTTGTTGAAAAAATTTTTTATTTAATAATTAAAAGAATGTGCTATTTTTTAAAATTAGTTTTCTACATAATTCGTATAACACCTTCTTCCCAATCATCTAGATACAGAAGATATAATTTGAAAAAATATTGTAATTACAATTTAAAAAAAATTTTAAAGAATCCCGCACTAATTATGTGGAAAATTGGATCCTGGTGAAATAAATTAGTTTTTACATGTAGTGTAGCTTATAATCTAATTAAGTAAGAGAAATTCTATTTTTTGTCAAAGAGGATCTCACCGTGCTTAAATATTTCGAATCCAAGTTGAGGCAATATTATATTTTTTGCAATAAATTATTCGCAATTTTTAAGATTCTTATTAAACATCAAAAATTGAAAGATTGAAAGACTGAAAAAGATTTCGGCCTGCGATTTGCAGATTGTATATAAATTAACACTGAAATATTTAAGCACTAAGATTCTCTTTGACCGAAAATAAGATTCTTTTTACTTAATTAAATTTATTCTCATCGATTTATAATTTCTTATTATAGTATAACTTATTATATGTGAACAAAAGTTGTCTTAAACAATAAGGTATAATGGATAATTTTTTTACTATAATGTATCAAAAGTGCTTTGTGAGCACAAGTTTTACACTTTTGATACACCAGTTCAAAAACTATCCAGTATGAAGCCCTGCAGTACGTCTATACATCTTTTGTTCATCACGTTATAAACTACAACATATGTAAAAACTAATTCATTTCACTGGAATCCAATTTTCCATATAACTATAGTACGGAGTCCTTTCTGTAGTTGTATAGGTACGTTGTGACTGCTAACGAAATACACAATTGTCTGTCAGGTTTCCAACGATAAAACTACAATAATACGCGTCATTTCCCAACGTAAAAGCCGTACAATTGTGTCTGTGCTGAGGACTCGAGCGTGTGCATTCGCTGGCAGACAACGCGATATCGTTATCTGCAGCCGTTGCACGTACGGGATCTACCGGGTGGTGTAACTCCACCAATGGAACGTTTACACACTGCGCCGATACGCAACATTGTATTTCCGTTGCTAGCAGCGAGGTTTGGGCACACATAACAGAATCGCGAATAACTGCACGGGGGATAGCAGGCTGAGGAAGGGAAAGGGGGATCAGATACTGGTTGCGAATTCGGGGAGGAGAGGGAATGGTGGACTGTTATTTGCAACGAGACGCAACAATTGCAATCCGAGCCGATCACGCGCACGTCGCGCGTCCCCCGTACCCGATTGAAGTAAACGCCATATTGCTGCGTCGGCCCACCCCGCGTTACCCCTCGCTTCCTGCACAATTGAAAATAATGTTTTTGTGCAAGCCGAAACGGCAGATATGAAACCAGCATGGCGGATGCTTACAAATAGTTGCGGGGCGGTGACTACGTATAACGGGCGCCTTTATCGCGCCTTTGTCCGCGAATCGCGCCACGCGGGCCGAAAGGATTCTTTGACGGGCAAGAGCGAGTGAGGGTCGCGGATCTAAAAACGGAGGGGCGCCAACGGAAGTTTCCGATCCACCCGTTCTTTTTCTCCCTTGTACCCTCTGCGCGACGTCTTCGAAGTGATAGAGATCCGATTTCAGATCGTGTAGAAAAATCTAATTGTGCACTGGAAAAGAATTACTGAATTTTATTAAATATTTGTTTGTGAATAGCACTAACGAAATATTTACTTACAGTAAATAAACATTTATTTAAAATAAAAATACATTTAAATTAAACATTATACTTAAATAAAATAAAATTAATTAATTAATGTTTACATTTAGTAAATTTTTTGTTAATACTATTCGAATACTAATATTAAATAAAATTCAGCAAATTTTTTTCGATGCGGATCAACGGTGTAAATCAACAAACAAATTTGCACGGTTATGTTAGAACATTAATTTCATTAACTAGTTTATTTATCTTTAATTTTTAGATTTTCAGGCAGTGTTATTGCTGATACCAATCCTTTTGATTGTGCAACTTCATGTATTGCGTCTTGTTCTACTGATGTATCATTTTTATTTATGTTACTACACATTAATGAAGTTGTCATTATAATTATTATTAGTTTGCAAATTAGATATTCATTAGTTTAACGGCCGTTTTAACATTTGTCCAGATATCTGATATTTAAAAATAAAAAAATTTAAGATAGATCAAAAATCCATAACTGCGCGATGAACGCAAAAGTCAGCCATCTTAAATCACGATGGCTTCTTAAGCAACTTGTGTAATTTGTTAATTTATCATTAACACGAGTTGAGTATTATAGCTAGTCATCTGTAATTATAGATAAATGAGCTATTTGTACAGTAACATTAATTTCCTCAGCGATATATAAATTTCAACTTTTGCTAATATCTGTATCTTTCAGTTATAATGTTAAAGATTAAACTTAAAGCAATTCCCAGAAATGTAATAGTGATCGTGAAAATTCTTTATTATATTAAACAATTAAATATGCATTTTTTGTAATGATTGGATAATGTACATGCATAAGGTATCAAGTATATTTTAACTGTATCTTCTTCATTAAAAAATTTTTTAATAAAATAATATGTAAATTCATTTAATAAGGAAGAAAAAAAATGAAAAAAGTGTAGAATGTAAGATTACAAGTAATATAATTATTAATTATTATAAGCCGAATTTGTTAAGAATATACAGTGACCAAATGCTATATTTAATGCAAATATCTCTAAATATATATATATATTTATACAGTAAATATAAAAAGTATTCGTACAAGGGAGATTTATAAAAAAATCTATATAAAAAAAATATATGTAAAAAATAAATTACATAGAAAATAAAATATTAATTAGTAATTTATTAATAATGAGTACTGTCCTAATATAAACAAAAAATTTCGTGATAATAATCGTATTCATGATTTTATAAGCTAAATTTCTCGATTGTACTTTATTTTGTTATTATCCTTTTTGTTTGTGCGCCTAAATAATACAATTTTTCATTTTTGTTTATTTTATAAAAATTAAGATGATATATTTTAATTATTACTTTAATTATTTTATTAAGATAGTATTATTTTAATTATTATTCTTAGATAAAACAATTTTAAGAAATATCTAATCTATTTTATTCTTTGCTAATAAATTAGTAATTAATGCTTACTTTTTAATAATAAATTAAGTCTTTTTTTAAAAGATATTCCTCTGTACGCGAATACTTTTTACACTCACTGTATAAGTTCAATGATACATTAGACACATTACTTGAAATCTTTATCGTAAATCAAAATCACAATCCGCACAAGCATTAGAATCATAGATAAGACCACTCAATCTCGAGAGACTGTCTCAATCTTCGTGGACTTCATGACGACGAAGCTCGCGAAGCAGCACGCACAAAGCAAGAGGAAGAGAGTGATAGAGAGACAGAGAAAGCGGATGCCATTTCCGAAACTGACGGTACAGCACGCGCTCTGAAAACGGGAAACACGCATCGATCGTCTCTCAACTCCCCGGTCCAGGATCGGCTATGATATCGAGCTATGTTAGGCCACGTAGAGATAAGAGAGCGGCGACGTAGTGCGGCGACGACGGCCGCACCATCATCAAGGCCGTCACCATCTCCACTACCACCATCGGTGGCCAGATTACGCCGGCCAGGATCAATATCGCAACGTCGTAGGCGTGACGATCGGTGGTGGGTTCCATTTTCG